TGTTTTTTCTTGACTATATATCAGCATCAAGCAAGGTTAGAGTCTCCTCAAGCCTTTAAATAGCTACTAGACAAATGAGGATTGCTCAGTAGTAGGTGGCTATCCAAAACATAAAGAGCCTTTCAGAGACGGCACAACTGCAGTTCCAAGGTGCTGGACTGCGTAAGGTTCACCACTAAACTAGAACCTGGACTGAATGATCCAGGACTACCCTGAAGCGTGCAGGGTGGGAGACGAAGACACCCAGGGTTGGTTGCATCTCCTGTGAAGGCGCAAGTGTCCTCTCTAAAGGTAACATGTTTCCAGCTTTGCCTCAAGATATATGACTAAGTGCAATCCCTTTGGGGGATCCTGCACATTTTGTCTGACTAATTTGACCATTCCCTTCCCTCCTTCGGCTTTTATCAGCAGCCTGTCTGTAGTTTATGACTCAGTGCCTTACAGAGGAATCCCCATTGCTGCTGAACAATGCCTCCAGCCAGCGCCTGCTGGGGGAGTTATCACTTCACTGATACCACGGTTTTGAAAGGAAACCCCAGGCCTGGTGTGTGTTATAGTTCTAAAAGGCGGAAAGAGGACAAGATAATTTCCACATTGCAAGGGGGATGTAGTCGGCATTACTCAAGAGGTCTTGTGGGCGGTATTTGTTTTAATAAGAAACTTATTATGTTCTGGGGGACTAGGCACCGGGGGTGGGAAAGTGGGAAAGGGAAGTCACCAGAGTGTTGCACAATAACACATTGGCACCTTGGGAATACTTCCGGATGTGTGGGCTTCTGAAAAGTGAAGGGGAATGCCCCCGTAAATCTGTCACCCACCCTCCCACTGCTGTTACTGGCCCAGGGAAAACAGCCCTTCTAAATGGTCTGTGATGACAGGAGTGGTAAAGAAAAGCAGCAGAGCAGGAGAAGGAGCAGGAGGAGAGGATGACAAGAACTAAGAGGATGGGAGGAGACGATAGAGGAAAAATCAGAAATGCAAATCAGAAGGAAGGGAGGGAGGGAAGAAGGAAGGGAGGAAGGAAGGAAGGAAGGAAGGAAGGAAGGAAGGAAGGAAGGAAGGAAGGAAGGAAGGAAAGAAGGAAGGAAAATCTTTCCAGATGCAAAGTTCCAGAGTAGAAAAAGCAGGGTCCTTTATTCAGTCTGGAGGTAGGACCATATCTCTTGTGAGCTCAGGTCAGTTGAGACAACATAAAAATATCAGATTTCACATCTGGAATAAGAGCCACACATAGGATCATATTAAATAAAACAGCGTAACCTAGGGCTAGCCTTTCCAGTACTGTGGTGCTCCCATAGAGGACTGTTGTAGCTGATAGGTCTTTCACAACATCCATCTTCCCACATCACACAAGAGAGGGAAGCTTCTTCAGGAAATGCTGCTAAACTTCCTCCTATGTTGTGAGGGTATCTTTCAGTTAGGATTTTAAGATATAATCAACAGAAATCAACTTTGGTTAGCTTTAATCAGCCATTTGAAATACCCAATACCTGATGGAAGGCTTTCTTCGAGGACTGGAGACTAGGAAGTGCATGCCCTAAAGGTCAATTTCAGGCAGAAGATCTGTCCTTGGGACTAGCCTTGGAAAGAACTAACACACCTGCTCCTGTCTCCTCAGCTCTGATGCTAGATGCTGTCTCTAGTACTTTCCTGCATCCTCATCAAAATGGATTCCATACTGGCTTTTGATTCAGGTTGTATATTGGTTGTCTGTTGGGGTAGAAGGTAAATATGAGCCCCACTCAAGCTGCTGAGTGACTTAGGGAAGAAGCTTGGATATTCAACTATTATAATGAGGATTGTGCTCTACCTCATTGGGAGAGTGATTCTGATTCTGATTCCTCAAATCTAGAAAGAGGATAGTAATAGATATCTGCCAAAGATGAGCCCTAGGTCTTTCACATTTTCTGAATGAGAGCACCAAGTCTTAGTCAACATTGTATTTCCAAACTGTGGTGTAAACCCAAGTCATTTTCACGGAGGTCTATTTTCTTGGTCACTATTCTTGACGTGCACAATGATGAGAAGAATGTCCTCTTCAGTGAAACCTTCCCCAGCACTCCAGTCCCACATCACTGAGTTATTAAAGCTATTGGATGTGTGTGTGTGTGTGTGTGTGTGTGTGTGTGTGTGTGTGTGTGTGTGTGCAAATTTCCCTGTTTATAATTGAGCTGTTTTTCTTGAAAGGAAGTTTTTCAGACTGAAGTTTTGGAGTTTGTGTTGGAATACAGTCCCTGGGATCTGGTATCTTAGGATGTGTTCCATTCTGCCTGGAATGCCTGTTTCTCTGTAAGTGTCTATCATGGAATTCTAAATGACCAGTCAGGGGTACAGCTGATGTCTTTGCTCTAACACAGACATCACTCAATGTACAAGAGAAAGAGAGAGACTTCCTTTGACACCATCTATGTATTTCACTCCATTAAATTATTACATGAATTGCTTCATAATAATAAAGCCCCCATTAACCTCCAAAGCTCTTTAAATCAGAACCGATGAGTGAACTCCTTTGCAACTAACTTACTGCAGCAGTTTTTAAACAGCTTAACCCCGTATGTTTTTTTATCTTCTCCACAATGCCTTCCTTTCTTGTTTTGTAAAAGTGACCCATGAAAAAGTTGCCCAGATAAAAATAGTTTACAAATATGGCTGACATATAAAAGATGGTCATCAAATACTACCTCCAAGAAAACACTTAGAAGGCAGTGAAAAATATGTGTGTAAGATGGACTTCGGAGGAACTGGGTCTCATCTTCTTGACAACATCCTTTTCTTCATTTTATCTTTCCTCACAAATGTTAGAGAGCATATTTTGGAAACTTCTAATCCTGAACATTTAGTCAAAGGAAAAGTGAGGCCCAAACAAGTAAGGAAAGCAGATTCTAGATTTACGACTTAGTACTACTTCTAGAAGAGTCTCTAAGTCTTACCACTCTCTATATAAAGTTCAGTCCATTTTCTGATAAGTGGTGAATAACATCCTAATTTCCATCTACTCTCTAGCAACCAAAAGGGTCAAATAGCTCTGATGCACAGACCAGCAAGTGAGCGTTTTTGTAGCTAAAGGAACAGATAATAGTTGGAGTTCTCTGGGGCATGGGATCTTTCTTTCACTCACTCAGCTCTGCTGTGCCTGGGGAGCATTCAGACAAAGGAACAAGGAGAGTGGCCACCGCTCCTCCAATTTATAACACCAGTTCTGGTCTGTGGACTGCCGGGTGCTGTCCCTTTCCTGAAAGCATCTCCCCAGTTGTTGTGCATTGTTGAACAGTTCTAAAGCATCTATTTTTAGGGGGCCCATGCCAAACACCCCACCTTTACCAGAACCTGCTTTCTTCCAGGGAGTTCCAAAGTGACATACTGCATTCACATTAGTCAAGTAGGTAAGTATTCTTTGATACACATTGGGATCAGTGATGGTTGGCAAAGGCAAAGTTTGGGTTCAAGCAAAGTTTGCAATTATGAAGAATTCCGCCGCACGCATTGGGAACCACACAGAAGAAGGACAGATTCTCAGAGATCTCTTCACCTAATCATTTCCACTTAGAGGAAGCGGACTTAGGCCAAACCTGGTCAAGCTTATGTAAGTCCTTAGCTTAGCACTAGGTCTAGCGCTTGATTCTTGATTTTAATTAATGCTTCCTGCTGCCATACCACTAGGTTAGTTGCTAATCAAGCTTTCACAATGGGCTACACTTAACTCTCAACCTGGGGGAAAGTCTTCTGCAATTAAAAAAAAAAAACGAGGCAAAGTTCTGCCTAGAAACTGCCACGTCCTTCCTCATTTTGCGTCTCCCTTTTTCTAACCACATTCATTTGCCTAGCACCCCCCTTGTGCTGCTCAGCTCCTACTTGGTGCAGGAGATAGATAGTAGGTGCGTTCTAAATGTGTTCAGAATGGAATTAACAGTAAACGATGCATTTCTGTTACGCTCACAGACTCCAGTCTACTAGGAGAAAGACTGTCCAAGCCCGGCACTTTAACGCACTGCAGACGCGAGGATGCGATGACATCTCTTTCCCCATAGTCTTCCTGGAAAACTGCCTTTCAGTGAGAAATCTTCCCACCGCGGTTTTCATCCCCTCTGTAGCTGCCCAGGCCCCTTTCAGATAGTGCACCTCTGTCCTTTGTACTTGCAAATGAATTGTGATTAGTTTTCACCTCCAGCCCAAGGGATTAGCCAGAGGACCTTTGATCTTCAGGTATCGATTTGCATCTTAAAGGAAGCATGATCTCATCTGGGCCAGCTCAACATTCCATCCCTGCCCCCACCCCCTGTCTGTTTACCAGCCCTGGGGCTGGACAGGGCCTCCCAAGTGGGGCTGAAACAACAAGATAGGCCAGACTCCTCGAGAAGGCAGAGGAAAACACATTTCCCACCCGACTTGGTAAAGGTGGGAAAAGGAGGTTTGCTTTCTAAGCACGGACTGGTCTGTTATCTGTCCTGGGCTGCAGATCCCAGAGACTGCGCAGCTTGGATCTGAAGCAAGGACCCAGGCAGCAGGTAGATTCCCCAGCTGGAGGGTGTATGGAGTAGGGTGAGCTGAGACTTGAGAATCACACACGATCAAGGTTCAGTCATTCCCTCTCCAGCCTCTGCCAATCAGTGTGATTCAGAAAACATTTTGTAATCGCCTCAACTTCTGATTTTTCCCACCTCTAAAGAATAAAAGACTTACACAAGATATACTATAACAATAGTCATCTTGGGCAGTTGGTGTGGAGAAAACCAATAATGTCCGTGAGGTAAAGGATGATAAAAAAAAAATGTCACCTGTCACTGTCATCATCTACGAGGACATGGGTTCTCGAGGATAGCCATGTTCGCCCTCTGTCTTACTTTATTTTTCCCTTTCTGTGTTTCACAGTGCTTATGACAGTGTGTGTCTCATAGGAGACACTTAATAAATATGAACTGAAATGAGTGAAGTTTATTTAGTCATAACTGTTATTATTATAATTGGACAATCAGCCAAGGCCAAAGACAGCAAAGACTCACCAATGCAGTTGAAGGAAATTTCTTGTTGGCAGAAGAGGGAACAGCCATCACCATTGATCTTATTCATGTCGTCACATTCTTCTCCTTGGTCTCTGCACAATGGATATGGAAGAGGAATATCCCAGGTCAGTTTCAGAACTGAGGCTCAACACAAAGATACTCACAGGAATCATGGAGCTTCTGGGAGATCTTATGTATATGCAAGTCTCTCTCCCTAACAGTCCGGTTCCTCATCAAAATGAAATCAACAGAAGGTATAGATTTACAAAACATGATTTCATTAATCTTAGCTGTGCTTTTATGACAAATAACAATTCTGCTTCAAAACTGGCAAAAACGTTGACATTTCTTTTTTACATGTATGCATGTGTATGCTTATGTGTGTGTGTGTGTGTGTGTGTGTGTGTGTGTGTGTTGTGTGCCTGCATGTGTACACACATGCATACGAATACCTATGTATGAATACATGTGTTCAGGTCCAAAAGCACATGGGTCCACATGTATATGGAAGCAGGAGGACACCCTTGGGTGTGTTGTTGCTGTCAGGAACATGTTGAGTTTAGTTCATGATGCACAGTCTCTGATTGGCCTGGAGCTCATTAATTAGGCTCGGCTGGCTCACTGGCCAGCAACCCGGGGATTCAACTTTTTGGACCTCTGCTGTGTTGAGATTATAAGCAAGCAGCAGTAGTCCCTTCTTTTTAAACTGGGTTCTAGGGATCAAACCCAGGGCCTCATGCTAGGGAGACAAGCACTTTAGCATCAGGTGAAATCTTCTTCTTTATTCTTTCTTTGTTTCTGTGGTGCTGGGCATCCAAACCTCTCCCAGCCTTATGTATGTATTCCCAGTCCAAGGCAAGCATTTTACCACTTGAGACATCTCTCCAGCCCTTATCCTTTGAAACTTCAAGTGCTTTAAACTGATAAGTCAGCTGGGCGGTGGTGGCACACGCTTTTAATCCCAGCACTCGGGAGGCAGAGCCAGGTGGATCTCTGTGAGTTTGAGGCCAGCCTGGGCTACAGAGTGAGTTCCAGGAAAGGAGCAAAGCTACACACAGAAACCCTGTCTCGAATAAATAAATAAATAAATAATAAATAAATAAATAAATAAATAAATAAATAAATAAATAAATAAATAAATAAACTGATAAGACAGTGGGTAGTAAGAAATGGAGGAATAAATTAACAAATGGCTGGCCAGCTCTTGTTCCTGGCATGTCACTCCTGTCTATAATGGAATTATTCTTTTTCCTTGTAAAGGGTGTAAATGATTAAGGTCCCCTAGCTTCAACCCTGCTTGTGCTGACACTGTCCCCTCTCAAAACACCCAAAGACTCTGTCTTGTTTGTACTTACATCCCCTGGCTTAGTGATCTTTAACTAGAAAGTTCTATTTCCCCCATGGAGGGTGCTGTTTCTTGTTGTCCAGAACTTTGAGGCCTATTCTTCTTGCAATTATTTCCATCACCTAATGATGATTTTTTGCAGAGGTTGAAATGGTCAGAAAATAAGTATGGCCTCTCTCTCCCTCCACTCCACCCCTTTCCCTCAAACTAGGCTTTGGCAAGGAGAAAGAAGAACAAAATTTGGGAAACCAGATAGATTGTTGTTTTCTGGAAAGTTCCCAGAAACAAAAAAATCTTAAGCTTAGAACTACATGTTTGGAAAATAATTGCCCAATCTGTAAGTCCTTTGGCCTGTCTAGCTGATCTTTTGATAAGTTTAAATCTATTGAAAGCAAATGAAACTGGGATTTCATTCTTCAGTCACACTAGCCACATGTCAAGTACTCAGTTGCAGCATGTGACCAGAGGTCTACTATGTTGAGCACAGAACAAATTTCTACAACCCCCAAAATATTTATTGTATGGTGGTCCTGTAGATGCCCACCCTCATTTTCTCATGTGGTATAATGGAAATAATTAATCATTCTTGAGTTGGGTACAAAAATGAAGCATTGTGGTGGTATTGTGTTCCCTGAAATATTGTGCACTCTAATAAACTTATCTGGGGTCAGAGAACAGAACAACCACAATATTAAACGTAGAGGTTAGGCAGTGGTAGCACATGCCTTTAATCCTAGCATTCCAGAGGCAGAGATCTGCCTGGATCTCTGTGTGTTCAAGGATACAGCCAAGCATGGTGACTCACGCCTTTAATCCCAGGAAGTAATGGCAGGAGGCAGAAAGGTATTTAAGGTGTGAGGGACAAGGAACTATAGGCTAGTTAAGCTTTTAGGCTTTTAAGCAGCAGTTCAGCTGAGAACTATTCAGATGAGGACTCAGAGGCTTCCAGTCTGAGGAAACAGGATCAGCTGAGGAATTGGCGAGGTGAGGAGGCTGTGACCTGTTCTGTCTCTCTGATCTTCCAGCTTTCACCCCAATACCTGGCTTTGGGTTTGTTTTATTAATAAGACCATTTAAGATTCATGCAACAAAGCATGATTTAAAGGGTCTAGCATGCTGGGCAGCACCTAGCAGATGCGAAAAGTGTCAGTTCCCACTCCTTCTTTGCCTTGGGAGGTCTTTGTAGAGTGTGTGGCAGCTGTCTCTCCCTCCTTGGAGACCAGCTGGGAACTGTCACAGCATGGAACAGGTCTCAGACTTTTCCTTTTACCAGGGGCAATTAACACCAGGCAATGTTTGTTGTCTTTAGGAGGTGTCAGAATAGCAGGATAGGACCTAGTAATCAATCCTTAAGCTGACCTAGGACATTGTATTGATCTCCAAGGAGCCACCCACGTTCTCTACTGTCTGAAAAACCATGAGCTACAAGGTTTGTACTCCTAGTTGTCCTCAGCATTCTCTGCCAGTGAATCTCACAGGCTTGAAATCACCAATGACCTTCAGCTTCTCAGCATTTCCGTGGGTTATGTAGGGAGACACCCTTTCCCTGAATCTGGACTGGTTCCCTAAGCCATGGACAATATTTCCAACCTACCTTCCATCACCACCCAAACAGTATGTTCTACTGGTTTAAGCAAAACTTTAGGATCACCACAAATATTTTCTAGGCATAATGGGTGTATCATTAGATGGAACAGTTCTGAGAAACCTCCTTTGACCTCTTAGGCTGGAGTGGGTAGGCATCATTCTCTGTTTTCACAGACATCTTGTTTCATCTATCACAGAACTGACTGTCTTTGCCTAACACTGGAGTTCCTGTAGTAGTCTGTGACATGCCAAAGGAGGAGACAGATTCTTCATCATCCTAGCAGCCCAGTGACATATAAGGGTTAAGGGAGATGGCATGTAGTCACCCCTCTACTGACTAATTTTGTAGGAATCTCTTCTCACATTAAAATGAAGAGATGAATTCAGATGAGAATCAAGTCCTTAGTACAAATGTTGGTTTTACTTTTTAATGGGCATGAATGCTTGAGAAAAGTACTTTAATTTTTGTGTGTGTTATTTTACTACAAAGTATGATTGCAAATTCTTGTGTATCAAATAACTTGATTTACACACAGCTCTTTAAAAAATTATTATTATTATTACTATTATTATTATTATTATTGTGTATATTAGTGGAGTTGGTTCTCTTCTGCCTTATGTAGGTTCTGGGGATCAAAGTCAGGGTTTTCAGGCTTATTTGACAATTAATTACCTTTATCTGCTGGGTACAATGCTTACGTGGGTCTTTATTTCAGAAGAACAAAAATGTTTCCTAATGTAAACTGTATTTTGCCTAGTAAATATAAAGTTGGCATATTTTAGTTAGGTAATGTCAACTTTTTTGTTTAAAAAAAAAAGTCTTTTTTTTTTTTTTTTTTTTGAGATGAGGCCAGGATGCCTCAAACTTACTGAATGTCTGAAGATGACCTTGAATTTCCAATCCTCCTGCCTCTACCCACCTCCAGTGCAGGTATGTGCCACCATGCTGGATTCATACATATCTGACTCAGGGCTTCAAGTGTGTTAGGAAAGAACTATACCAACAGAGCCAGGCTGCCAGTCCTCAGTATGTCATTTTTAAGTTTACAAATTGTGAATTATAACCTTTCCATAAGTCAATGACATTCTTTATTGTAGGGCAGGGACTCTGATGCACACTACTATCCCTTTGCACAGTCAACAGAAAAAATGGAATTAACTGTGTTTTACCTAATCATACTGCAACATGTATTTCTTTCGGTGTTAAATCATGATCGGAAAGCATACTGCTCTGGCAGGAGCGATGGCTCAATGGCTGATAGCATTTGCTCCGCCGACAGAAGACTCAGGTTCAGTTCTTAGCACCTACACCAGGCAGCTCTCACAACTGTCTCTAGTCCCAGAATCCATCACTCTTTTCTAGACTCTCTGCAGGCACCAGGCATGCATGTGGTGGACACACACACAGAAGCATGAGCATGTACAAGGACATGCATATACAATAGAAATAAACCTTAGAAAATACAGCATATTGCATCAAATACCTATGTTTCTTTGAGTGGATTTTCTAGTTTAAACTGCTTCTACCTTCACAAGTACAAATCTAGTCCTAGCTGCTCCTTTCTTCCCACTATGGAGGATTCCAGTTTCCATCACCTACCACACAATCACTAGCAACAAATCAAACTGCTCTTCCCTCTGGCATTACTGTCCGTGACAAGCACAAGCCATAGACATCGAGCACTTTTTTTCACATACGTTCCACACCTGAGAGCTAATTTACAGGCTGCACATCAGTGCTTTCATCCAAGCCTGAAGCAAATGCACTCTTCAGACTACCCATCCCCCAACAGGAATAGCAATTGCAATCTCATGTTGCAAAAATATTATGTGACACCCAACAGTGCCATTTAATGAAGGAATTTACCAATAGCTTGTTTTGCCATCTCACACATAGTGCATGTGATTAAACCTGCCAATTGTTTTAGATTTTAGTGATAATGTCACTTGCAAATAAATACACTAGCAATGGGAGCAATAAGAAACTGAATTTGGAATGATGCTTGATCTCATCTTCATTTGTATAGGAATAAGAAAACCTCCAGTTTGTGCCAGCATCTGGTTGTTTTGTGCTTATTTTAGAAGACATTTGATCAGAAGTTGATGGTAAGGCTTCATGACTTCTTGTTCCTGTTTGGCAGATGTATGTATCCTGCCTTAAGGACCAGGCAATGAATAGACTGAACATCCTATAAGATGCATTTCTTTTTCATACAGCTTGATGCTTTGCAAACATAATTGCTAGTTGGACTGAAATCTTTCACATCTTGATTCATTCACCCCAGTGTATTCATTTTCAGATTCTCTACTCATGCTAGAATATTGTTTAGTGCTTATGGTTTCAATATTGAATGTTACAATACTTTGTTGTATTTGTGAAGATTTGGCCCATTTTCTGAATTGGTGATTGCAGTTTTAACAGATGTAAAAGGTAGCCAGCAAAGGAATATTTTTTTTTTCAGCTATTAGCATGCTCACTTAATATAAAAGGGAAGCTTTGAATATGTTTTAAGCAGAGAAGCTAGGTGAACAAAATTCCACTTTAAAGAGGATATTGTATGTAGGCCAGATTAGGGGTGGATCATCCCATGTCAAAGAATCAAATTAGAAGTTGGGTGGGTCTTCCTACTTCAAATGTTTTGTGTGTGTGTGTGTGTATGTGTGTGTGTGTGTGTGTGTGTGTGTGTGTGTGTGTGTGTGTGTGTGTGAGAGAGAGAGAGAGAGAGAGAGAGAGAGAGAGAGAGAGAGAGAGAGAGAGAGAGAGAGAGATTAAATTGAAATGTGGCTTTAAGAAAAGAAAATGGTTTTGATTTTTTTTTTTCAAGACAGGATTTCTCTGTGTAGCCCTAGCTGTCCTGGAACTGGCTCTGTAGACCAGGCTCGCCTTGAACTCAGAGATCTACCTACCTGCCTCTGCCTCCCAAGTGCTGGGATTAAGTGCAAATCCATGCCTGGTTTAAAGAAATGTTTTTAAGATTTTTTTAAAGATTAATTTAAGCCGGGCAGTGGTGGTGCACACCTCTAATTTAAAAAACAACCAAGATGGAGAGCAGATGGTAAGAAGCACATAGTAATATCTCTGGTAAAATCATATATTATATATTTGAGAAATGTGTGTGACCCCAGAAAACAATCATTGAGTTTTCTTTCAGGGTCAGCAGATGGCTTAAAGCCCAACTAACAGGTCATTGGAGAACACTGGCGCCTCAGAGTTTATGCATCGGAAAGCATTTCCTACACTCTCCCACTAAAGCACCTTGTCCATCTCTTGACCTAATTACCATTTCCCCAAACCTCCTTTTTCACTGGGTGGACCTACTTACTTCTGGATAATGCCATCACCACAGTACCCACTTCCATGGGTGTATATGGCAGCCGGTGATGGCTCACTCTCTTCAGTTCCTGAAATGGTGATAATCTGGTACTGGTACACACTGCCAAGTTTCAGATCCCTGGAAAATATAAAGGAACTTGTTAGTTAAAACAAATGCAGTGCTTGGGGCTGATAGGCAGAGAATGAAATATTGATTCCTTTGAGTACACTCTTTCAGTCTTCTTTTTTTTTAAAAAAAAATCAAAGGCACTTGTAGTAATAAAATAATCTGCATTATGCACTGGGTTAAGCCTCTTTCTTCAACACAATGGACTACATTATGATGTACACCAGTAAAAACATCCTTTACTAGGTGGATCACTGTACAGTACTAAGTGCTTTGGACTTGAACTTGATAGAAACCCTTGAAGAAGCATAGCAGGGAGTATGGGATCCATGCAATGAGAGTGTGTGGGAAGAAGAGAGCCTGGGAAAAGGTTAGCTAGGCAAAATCACAGACAGTGGAGGGAGCATATCAAATCCTCTGAACACCATCTGACCATTCCCTCACCTTTAAAGACCTGTGCAGCTACCCCACTGAATATGGGAAAGCCTCTTCCTTATGCTGTGTTGTTAGAAACTAGCCTCTTCTCTCCACATTCCTATCCATGACTCTTACTCTTTACTTAAATAACAATAGCATTCATTAATTGAATCTTGGCCCTGGGCTGTGCACTTGCTATATATTTGCTTATTTGAGAATCAAAACAACCCTACATGGGAACTCATATTTTTATGTTGTTTTTATAGATGATGAATATGAGGCATAGCGAAGTGAAGCCAGTTGTTTCTAATTGCATGCCATTGAGTAATAACTTATATTCTCCTTTATCCCCAAAGGCCTGCCTAATAACTACATCTCTTGAAGAGAGAGGTCTTGTCCTGGAATAACAGTTCCGGAGCCTGGTACCTGCCAGACGTCCAACATGCCAAAACTGTATCTCTCCTCTGGCTTAAGACATCCAGGGCCTGTCCAGGCTTCCTCACCCAGGAACCTGGCTACTGCCAATTATCCTCTAACACAAAAGCATTCTTGTGTCAATTCTACATGATCACATCTCCATTCATATTTCCTGATAGACAGTTTTCAAAGGCATATGCTACCCTTCATTTGCATTGACCTATATGTCAATTATTCATTTATTATGACAAAAAAATTACTATGGGAAATATTACAAAAGGTTAATAAGGAGATCTAGAGGGAAAGGAGGTAGATTTCATAAACAGAAGGAAGATGCCAGGAAATCTTAGGATCTCCTTGCCCATCTGTTATTTCAGCTGCTACGAAGGCTGGCAATGTTTGGATAAGGCCAACAAGATAAGAGGTGCATGGACAATGGATAGGGAAGGTTTCCTGACACTCAATGTAGTGATAGTTAAGAGTTTATGAGCAATGGAAGATTCCTGTGAAGAACACAGCCTTGGTAGAAATCCTAGACACATTATCCCCAAAGGGAATTTGTTTTAGCATCACTGAAGCAGCCAGTGATAGTGGGGGCAAATCAAACACCCTTAGGGATTCTGCAAGAGATCTGGTGAATATCTTGGGATGTTGCACAGATAAATGATGGTTGCACTGTAAACTCTCAGAATGATATCACCAGAATACCCCTTTTATTGACTCTTTACTTATGCCTTGACTAATGAGGGACTCTTCCAAAAGTACAATAAGAGAGGGGAGGGAATGAGAGTCTAAGATACATGAAGGCATTAGATAAATATGACATGAGTTCTACTATAAGCTTACCTGTTCTAAAATATGAAGGTACATTAAAATATGATAACATTTTAGAATAAAATAAGAAATTTGCTTCAGGTTACATCCTGTGCCACAAATGGGGCCCTTTTGCAGAAAAGCTTGCCAAAATGAACAGTGCTTCTTGAGTCATTTTTCATGTGTGTGTGTGAGTGTGTGTGTGTGTGTGTGTGTGTGTGTGTGTGTGTGTGTGTGTTTGTCTCTGTGTCACATGACAAATGCTTTGTAGCTGAAATATTTAAAGTGATGGGCTAACCTGTTGTGGGCATTTTCCTTCTACCCCTACCTTGGTTTGTCTTGTCGCATCTTCATGTCAAGTTCCTCCTATGCCTCAGCAGTCACCAACTTGTAGGTAAGCAAACATGTTTTTGTGTCCTGGTTTTATCACTTTTATCCAGAAAGCCATGGTATATATTTATTTTTAATCTCTCTGAGCCTATTTCAAATTAATTCTAAACTTTGCCTCATGGTATTTTCCTACATGTGAGAATGTAAAGAGTGCAACTTGTGTCCCCAGCTCATGATGAATTGCTAGAAAATGCTGAGCTATTATTATCAACGGCTGATTAGCAACATTCTCAGTCCCTGAAATTATCCTCTGGACTCTTTAATGGGGGGGGGCAGGTGAAGAGTCAAATATACAGATAACCCTGATGTGGCAAGTTCCTGAAGAAGCGGGTCTACCATCTGCTTCTTGTATTACAGAATCTTAGACACTCCCTCTTGTATGGTATCATTTAGTTGGAAAACATGCAGTGCCAAACACCTCACTTTCTTTCAAGGCAACCCACCCTAACTTCTGAGAATTTTACAAACCAGGTCTTTACCCTGCTGTAAAACCTATCTCTTAATGACTTCTACCCAGTGACCCACTAAGCAGCAGTGTGCACAACAATTCATGAAGAAATTTTCATAGCCCTTCTCTCAACGGTGTGTCTGCCTCTTGTGTCATCCCTTTGAAGCCTGATAACAACTATCAGAGTCAGGGGCTAATATCCTACGTTCCCAGAGAGGGCGACAGAGATGTGAATCACCCTTCAGTAAAAAGATCATGAATCTCCTGTAATAAAACTACATTTTTCTTTCATTTACCTTAAAATTAATGCCAAACACAGGTTCTTAAGAACTTAGATATTTTTCTTTTTGAAAGACAAACTGGTGAGTGCGGACGACTTTGCTAGGTTGGTGGAAGTTGGAATCTTTGTCACAGCTGGTCTAAAAGCAGGAAGCTAGTGTCAGGTCCTTCCTTTCAGCTGCTGCTGAGCATGGGAGAAGCTTCTAGCTGTTTCTTGAACTCATTCCCCCCAACATTCTTACTACTAGTCCTGTCTGTGGCCTCCTAGAAGGTTCCACAACACCCTGTAACTTGCTATGAAGCTAAAACTTCTCCTTTCCTTTTTCCCCCTTTTCTTTCTTTCTTTTTTGTAACTAAAACTCTCAGATTTCATCTGAGATGTGATTATTTTATTTTGACCATTTCTGATTTCTTTCACAGAATTTGGAATGCTACTTTAAATTTATCATTAAAAACATTAATCTTCATTAATATCTAATCATCAGTTCAAACTCTATCTAGGATTTCTTTTGCATTTACCAGTAACATGTGATGGATTATTTAGCTAATATTGAGGGGCTGTTTTGTGGCTCCTTTGCATACCATTTTAAAACAGTCTTTCCAAGACTTAGCTTTTGCTTCTGTACAACTGTCTCAAAGGACATATCTGCCTTAGGTTTACGTTTTCAATTATTGAGGAAAATGCTTTCGTTTCTCATTGACATGATTTCCTCAATAGTCCTTCTGAAAAATGTTATTACAAGGCTGGGTGCAGTGGTCCACATATGTAATCCCAGCACTTGGAAGGCTGAGAGAAGAAGATTGCCACGATTTCAAAGCTAGTCCAAGATACCTAGTGAGTGTTAGACCCAGCTGGAGTATGAACTGGGAATCTGTCTCTCTGTTGCTCTCGCTCTCTCTCTCTCTCTCTCTCTCTCTCTCTCTCTCTCTCTGTGTGTGTGTGTGTGTGTGTGTGTGTATGTGTATAAATTGCATGCCAACTTATATCAAAATATATCTCAAGTATATAGTATATTCACACATGGCAACTTGGTTAGATTTTGACACCATTATCTTAAGAATATATATATAAAAAAAAAACCTAGACCTCTGCATATATGGGACAATTGAGTAGCTTGGTCTTCTTGTGGGACTCCTAACAGTGGAAGCAGGGTCTATCTTTGACTCTTTTACAGGCTTTTGGGCATCCTATTTTTCATAGCGGGTTGCCTTGTCCAGCCTTTTTTTTCTTTTCTTTTCTTTTTTCTTTTTTTCTTTTTCAAGACACGGTTTCTCTGTGTAGCCCTGACTGTCTGGAACTTATTCTGTAGACCAGGCTGGCCTCGAACTCAGAGATCCACCTGCCTCTGCCTCCCAAGTGCTGGGATTAAAGGTATGTGCCATTTCTGCCTGACTCTTATACAGCATTAATACAAGGGGAGGTGCTTATTGCAACTTGATATGCCATGTTTTGTTGGTCTTCATGGGAGGCCTGCCCTTTCCTAAACAGAAATGGAGGAGGAGTAGCCTGACAGGTGTAGAGGAAAGGTAGAGGGAGGGAATGAGAGGAGAAGAAGGAGGGGAAACTGTGGTCAGGATGCAAACGAAATAAATAAATTTAAAATAAAATTTAAGAAAAGAATATAAAAAACCCAGAAGATGTCTAAGCACCCTTAGGTTTAAATACATAGATGCTCATTTTCAAATGCATATTTTAAAATTGTTGATCCATAGTTAATATTATGATGGGTCATTACAACCTATAGAAACCCATGATTAAGTCATTACAACTCCTGGAGGCTGATTTTCAAGTCAGGGTTTGTTACTGGTGTCCCATGCTTCTATGAAGACATGGAATGAAAAATACAACCGTAGGTAGGAAGAATGGAAGACAGACCTCTTTGTACTGTGGTAACACCCTACTTTGTTTCTTTCAAGAAACTTTTGAGCCCCTTACTCTTCATCAATATCCTATGGGTTCCATATCACAGCATTCATGTGTCATAAGCCTTAAAATGGTCTCTGTTTTCAAGCTGTATTTTATTTCTCTAAAATTCTACCTTCTAGATAAACAACTGTAACTATAGTTTCAATTTGTTTCCTACTTACCAGACATACGTTATACTTTGTGCATATAGTTTCAACCAGAACAAATATTCCTTGAGCAGTTGTTATTATTACACCTTCTCTGGTGAAGACACTGGCACATGAAGGAGAGAACACACTACCTGCCCATAGCTTTTGCCATAGGCAGAAACTTGAATGACTT